TTTCCGCGAGACCCCTCGCCGTGCCTACTGCAATTTTCATTCGGGTCGCCCAGCTTACAAAAGATTGAGCTTGGCCGGTCTCTCCTGAGAATACGCAAGACAAGAAAATTCATAGTTATTGAAGTAAGAAAGCATATAACCATGACCAGCAACATCAAAGCATGCGAAAAAATAGAATTAGTTCGACGTAAATTATAAAAGATAGGGAAACTATTAAACTTATAAGTCGAATCTGATCGACTCACCTTCAATCATCACATTAAAGGGCGCAAAGTAACAATTAAACTAAGTCAAATCAGGCATATGTACAACATAACTAATCAGGCTTGCCCAAAAGGATGAGGTGAACTCCTAAGATTACCCTTAAATGAAGAGAGAAATGCATATCGACTGAAGAAAAATGACCCGGCATACCGTTTTTCAACACTAAAACGCTTGAAGTATCATACAGCAATGGATACACACTCCCGGCACGATAATAATCATACAACATGAACCTTTCGCCCAGAAAAGAATAGTAAGCCCTTAGTGGGGCAAAGTTCTCATGCCTCAGATGTCCAATAACATCCATGTAACAATTAAACTAAGTCAAATCAGGCATCTGTACACCATAACTAATCAAGCTTGTACCCAAGGATGAGACGAACTCCTAAGATTACCCTTAAATGAACAGAGAAAATGCATATCATATCGACTGAAGCAAAATGACCCGACAGGCCAGAACATACCGTTTTTCAATGCTAAAACGCTCGAAGTATCAAAGTCCCACTTATCATGAAGCAACTGATACACATTCCTTGTACTATAATAATCATACAGCAAGAACCTTTCGCCCCGGACAGAATAGTAAGCCCTTAGTGGGGCAACGTTCTCATGCCTCACATTTCCAATAACATCCATGTGGCGTTCGAATTCGTCATCCGAAAAACTCGTTGACGTGAGCCTCTTCAACACTATCGTCGGCCCACGATCCATTTGAACAGCATACGCAGCCCCAAAGCTTCCCCTGCCAAGAAACCGAGCAGAGGCCGGGCTTGAACCTTCGGCATCATCGACAGCTGGATTAAAATCCGAAAAAAGAACGAGCTTAGGGGGCACTCGACTTGGCCTTGATGAGCTTTCGGATCTCGAAAGGTCCAACGCCTGACCGGGACTCGAATCGAAGCTGGAACCGAAATCCGAAGCCTCCGAAAGTACGCTCGGGCTCCTCGAGCTATCGTGAAAAAGCTGCCAAAGCTGCTGTTTTTTAGAAACAGCTGCAACCAATCTTTCCCAGTTGTCATATATTGCAGACATCTTTTTCTGAAGCTTTCAAACCCTGAGAATGCAATTAGGCTAACACTTAGTTTTACAAGTTAGTTGACATTGGCTTGGTCAGAAGTTTCTTTGCTGGTTGCTCTGAAAGTGACTAAGGTATATATAATATATAATAGTATTATAAATTATTTATTTATAGATCATATTTCACCATTTTGACTAGTAATTATGAGTACAATTTATGTAAATTAATTTGTTTTGAGCTTATTTTTGTTGGTATTATGTTTGATTTTAATTGAGGGAAATAAAGAGTTAAGTGATTTTATCTGTTAAACAGCCGTGTCCGAATAGTTTATCAATAACAATTTTTATTTATTTATTTTTTAGCAGCCTCATATGATTTATAAATTTACTTTTCATATTAATTTCAAAAATTTATGGGTTGAAAAAAGGTTGAAAAAATTAATAACAGAAGATTTTATTTAAAATTTTTAAATACTCTTTTCAAAAAAAAAAATTGTATTATAATATTGAATATGCAATATAGAATTTAAATTGTACATTGTTAAAAAAAGAAAAATAATGATTTGATATATATTATATTAACAGTGGGGGAGCCACCCAAAAGCTGGGGTAGGCTCTAGCCCGATCTTAATTTTTGGTACATCTAAATGTATACTAGTAAAATATGTTTTAGCCCATGTTATATTGTACTAGTTACGGAGTAATCTTATTTTGATCTAAAATAAATTATATTTATTTTAAACTAAATCAATGAATAATATATTTAAAAGTTGTTTAAATCTCTTTTCATTTTTTCTTTTAGTTCATTATGTCTTTTCCGTCTTCTTTTATTTTTTTTTTGTTTTTATTATATTATTTAGTTAAATAAAATTTATTTGAATAATTGTATTCAAGACAATAATTATTTGTGTAACTGTGTTAGACTTCCATTAGAAATTTAGTATATCGTTGAATTTATTGATTTTACAATTTAATTGTATATTTTTATGATTTTTCAAATAAATGGTATTTCAGTACACATCGATTTTGATCTATAAAAATTTAATTTAACGACCACATCTATCGTTTTATAAGCATTATTACTACAAGTTTTTTAGAATCATTAATGTTGCATATCCGACATGACTGTATTTATGTCCTGCTACAAAACGACGGATAAAGAAATATTGTTTCACATATGACATGAGATAATAAAAACAGAAACAGAAACGTCTTTGTAATTTCGCAAAGGCCCGTTCTATGCCATTGTCATCTCCCAAAAAAAATCAAATTCGTCAAAAAAGATAAAACTATACATAAAAATGAAGTCGTGTCTCGGATTCGAAGATCGGATTCGAGCCACATAATTGAAGATCTATACATAAAAACGAAGTCTTGTCACGCTATGAAGATCGGATTCGAGCCACATTATTGAAGTCATATAGTCGGGAAAAATAAAATGGTAAAGAAGAAAAGAACAAAAAAAAAATAACTTTTGGCACTCTATTTCATTTTCCCCTTTTCTCTAATAGGAAAAGTGAACGTTGGGAGTAAAGTCGTTGAACAAAGAGAGCCTCGACGTGACTCAGTTTGATTCTGCTCGTTAAGACTTGTACCTGTTTCGTTAATTTTGATCAGTGAGCAAAACTCGAGCTTCCGTTGTCATAGTTTTTTACACTATTTAACTCAACATCCAACTCGATTTTAATTCAAATATCAACTCTCCTCAATATAATTAAAAATTTTCATTAATTAATCATTATCACACTTCACACCACCTTTATATTACTATTCATTCACTCGTATAATTTTTAATCCGTTGTCATTTTCAATAACATTTCTTATACTTATACACCACATTAACTTTAATAATTAGGTTTTAAATATAAATTCAAAAAGTACACTTAAATTTTTACTCAATCAACTTTATTAAGAATGAACTCACGCTATTCAATAAGTTTAAGAGGAAAAAAAAAAATATATCCAATCAGCTATATTTATATAATCCAGAGGAAAAAAAGTTGTATCCAATCAGCTATATTTATATGATCCAACATAAGTGAAATTTGTCATGACCTCGATTAAGACTATGTTTGGTAGGCAAATAAGTTAGCTTATGGTTTATTTGGTTAGCTCGTAAGTTTCGTGTATTTAAAGAAGTTTCGTTTGATATGACGAGTTTTTTCAAACAACTCAAGAAGTTTCTTTAGGTAGTTTTTCAAATAAATATCGTTGAAATTTTTATTTCAGTTAATTTTACAAAACACTTTTACCATATAAGTTAATTTTTCAACTATATATCATACGTTATAAGTTATAAACTCGAAATTAGTGATAAGCTATAAACAAACTTATCAGAGATCAGTTAATTTTATCAAACTCAAAATGCACCACAAAATTCATAGCTAGTCTAAAGGCACAAAAAAATCCAAGGAAAAAATAAAAAAGTGGGACAAAAAAAAAAAAAGACTTGGAAAGCTTTCCACTCACTCAAGGACAACAAATAAAATTGTAATCAATTACCTAGAGAGAGTGGGGCACCTTAATTAATTAAAGGCATTTACCCGAAATTAATAGAGGCAGTTGTACATAATTCAGGGTCCTATTTAATAATATGTGGAAGTTTTGACCTTTGTAGTAAATATCGTCAATTTTCTAGATAGCACGAAGATGACGTTCGGACTTCGAGTCTTTTCCAAAATTCATCATCTTTCAAGGGCCAAGTTACACCAATAATTTGTGAGCACATGTTAATATGTCAACCGCTTATATAGTATGTACACATTGGTGATGTTAATATATTTAAAAAAATACATCATCAATGTGTGCATGACACATAAACGGTAGGCATATTAAAATGTGATCACCGTAGTAGGAGAGCATTACCCCAAGTTACTCTCCCGATGTATAATATCCAAATTAATGTAGATTAATTTTATAGTGTGTTTGACTAGCAAAATCAATTAATTACTTATAATTTATATAATATTTACACATTATTTTTGTTTAAATAAGTCTTGTTCAACTGATTTATAAATTTATCATGTTAGTTAAATTTCAGTTGCAAATCATCGTCTATCAACTCAAAATTAACTTATTTCTCGACCAATAAGACTACTGTTAGTCTATCAACTCAAAATTAACTTATTTTTCGAACAATAAGACTACTGTTAGTTAAGCTTAATCGTATAGGCAGCCATATATACTTATTCAATGTATATGGCACAAATAAAAGTATAATATTTCATAATATAATACCTATTATTACAAAAATATAACGATTCGATATGCCTAATGATTAATGTCTCACACAATAAATTATATTTTTTTTAGTTACATCTTCCAAACATATCTCATTAACAAATAACTATACTACTTTTCTAAATTAGCCCTACTTAACTAAAAAAACTCAAATTATTTTTTTAACAACTCAAATTAAAAAAAAAAAAAATCCAATTTGAGTTAATTCACTCAAATTATCTATACTTATATAAAGAGTCATCTTATTTACTAAAATTAATAGCAAAAAAATAGGTCAACATTTAATGCAGCCCATAGATAGTAGTTTTATTATTTTTCTTATTCTTTTTTTTAAAAACCATACAATTGAATATATACACGTGCTCACGCGCACACAAACACACACACACACACACACACATATATATATATATATATATATATATATATATATTACTTAATAAAGTGAATAAAGTGGGTTACATAAATATCTAAACAATTTAAAATTTTAAATGTTTAAATTAATTGATAAACAAATAATAAATCTCTATTTTATTTAAATATGTAATTTTAAATATAGCCAAATTTATTTAGAAAATCGTATTGATCCAACCAGTTCAACCGACTGGTGTTGACGGATTCAATAACAAATATTTATTCAAGTGAACTAGACTGATTATAAACTGGTTCTCAGTCTATCCGGTCGGACAGTGTCCAACACAGTTTAATTTAAAAACGATGGGTAAATCTTAATTAATTTATTTGTATATTTAATTTATAACACAATCGTAATATTGTTTTCCCGTGCTATCGCACGAGCCATGCACTAGTTTATTTAACAAACACACCTTTAACCACCATGACAAAAATATCACTTTTAAAAGGGATGGGAAGACATCACGAAAATCATCTCCTCTCTCTGGCGATTCTCGGCAAATAAAGCTCCTCCTGCGGCATCTCGTGTTTCTTCTGATTTGACCTCTTCCGGCAGCGGCGAGGCCGGTCCTGCGGCCGCCGCTGACTGCCTATTCCTTTTCCGCTGTCACTTTCCCCCAATTTGTAACCATGGCTTTTCTTTTTTCTTCCCCGATTTGTTGATGGGCGGTGATTGAGGTACAACAATCGGTGGTTTCCAATCTTAATTCGAGTTTGTTGAGGCTGCTCGTAGGGATTGAAAGCCCTGATTGTTGTCCTCGTTCTTGGGCTGGTTTGTGTGGTGGTTTGGCGCAGGGGGAGTTTCGATGGTTAGGGTTCGAATGGGAGTCCGAGGTTTTTCGGCGAGGTCGACTTGCTGGGTTGTCTCGGCCGTTTGCGAGCCTGGGGTTGGTGGTACAGGGCGGTTGGTTTGGGCTCTGTGGCGATTGCAGGGGTCCTGGTTCCGGCTTGGTGGTTGGCGATTGGGGAAGGCGGGTTGTGTCTTCGGCTGTGGTTGTGCGGGGGTGTTGGTGGTGGTTGGGAAAGAGGGGCTCCGGTGGCTGCTGTGTGTTATGCGTGGTGGTTGTCGGGGCTGGGGTCTGGGCAGGGTGCGGCTATCCCAGTGCATTTCTTGTTGGGCTGCTTGGGATCCGGTATTTCTGAGTCGGGCTAGTGGTGTTAGCCTTGCTCGGATTACTCCGGTTGGGGTTGTTGGTCTGGTCTCCTCGGTCAATGGCTTCCGTCCTTTGGGTTGGGTTCGGGGGCGAAGTCCTGCATCGTGCTTGGCCTTTGGCAGTTTCCGGTGTAGGTGCTTGGCTAGGTGCCTTTCCTAGAGTCGGTTGTAGATGCTTCTTCGGTTTTGTCGGTTCTCCGGAAGAGGGTTGTTTAATTTTTGCTTTCTAGATTGTTTGTTTTGTAGGTTGTCCTTTTATTTGCTCAGTATGGTTGTTGTTTTGCTTCGGAGATGGATTCAGGCTAGGCATTGTGCAGTGGCTCTGTGTTTCATTTTCCTTTATTTTCGTTTTTGGAGTTCTTTAGGCCGCCTAGTGCGTGTTCTCTCAGTTTGCTTTTCTTGTCTGTTGCGTTAGGTGTGTTTTTGGTTTGGGCCGTTGACCCCTGTCTCATTACCCTGTTGGGGCCATAGATTACCCTGTTGGGGCCGTAGATTACCCTGTTGGGGCCGTAGATTACCCTTTTGGGGCCTTAGATTACCCTGTTGGGGTCTTGTAATTTCTTATTTTGCACTTTTGTGCTCTGTTATATTATCTCTATCGTTTCGGCAAAAAAAAAAGGGATGGGAAAAAAGTTTTAGGCCCCGTTTGTTTTTCACCTTTTTAGCCAAAAAGCTGTTTTAGCGGTTTTGACCAGATTGGAAAAAGCTAAAATTGGCTTTCTTGATGTTTGGTAAGCCAGCTTTTGAAACTAGCGGATGTGCTGAAAACGTCAAATTTTGAAACGCTCATATTAGTAGCGTTTTGCTTTTAGCTTTTGCTTAACTATTGCCACTTTGCAAAATAATTATTAGCAGGCACCTCTATAATACTCGTCCTTTATGCTTTTTTTTTTTTTGGTGTCATGTTTTTAATTTGTTTACTAATTTTTTTATTCTCATTGCATACTCTTTTTAAGTTTTAATTTGATATTTCTTGCTCATATAATTGGCATAACAATAAAATTTAATACGTGCAAAGATTAAGTACATGTTGTTATAATCAATAATTATGACTCTTTTTGGTTGAACTAATATTTATATTTAATTAGAATAAATGTATATTTTTGTAATAATTACACGGTTGTGTTTATATGACTTGAACTTGTTTACTCGATTAAGAAATATTTTTATTATTATTTATATTTTTATTGTATTTTAAATCACTTTAATAATTATTTTAAGTATTATTTATTTTTATTTCTTAATTAATTATAATTTAACATATGTCCTTATTAGTAATTTTACATGTTAACAGCTGATTAAAATAACTAATTTTACCAAACAATCTTTTACAAACCGCTAACATAATCAATCTTTTACAAACCGCTAACATAATCAACTGGTCAAAACAACAAATACAATCCGCTGGTCAAAGCAGCTAATGCAATCCGCTGATTACCAAACAAGCCAGGGGAATTTGGAATTCAACTTTTGCACGCTTTCATCATCGCCACCAGATTTAAATAACTGAAGCCTTTCGTCTCCAGTTCGCCATGGCCACTTTAACAGACAGTGGAGCCATTTGTTCATTCTTCGGTTAAGAAGGTACAGAAGAATCGAGAGAGCTCACACACAAACCAGGTAAAGCTTCTCCTTCATAAATCCAATCAATGCGCACAAATCTGCAGTTTTTTTCACTCAAATTGCAGCTCTACCTTTTTTCCTCTTTTTTTTTTTT